CCATTTAAAATAAATAAATAATAAAGTTATTGAATTTAATGATTATATAACGTTAAATAATAGAGCCCAAAAAAGCACAGGGGGAGGAATGCTCACATTCAAGCTTATTAACTTTGTTTAATTTCTAATTAATTGTTTTTCAACACTGAACACAGCGTTTGACGTCACTTTCACGAGTGAGATTACAATCGGACGCTTTTCTACAGGGTTGGCTACTCACCGCTAATGAGTAAAATTGTTCCCCAGAAAATCCGAGTCATCATGACGAGCAGCTCTCCAAACCGCAGGAATATGACGAGCAGTTTCACTGAAACGCGGGTGTGTTAAGAAGCCATATCAGTCATTAGTGTTGCAGACCCCGGGACAAGCAGCAGCCGCAGCGGCGACCATCAGCAGAGACCACATTTAATCCGGCGAGCATACACTTGACCTGTTCTCTAGTGTCAAACATTAACATCTGATCTATCCACAGCTTCTTTTGGGGCGCAGAAAACTAACCGCGGTCGACTTTACCTTCTTTGCCTTCCTGGATGTCCGAGGGTTTAACTTCACAGTGTTCCGTTGAGGAAATTGGTGTGTAATCCCGTCAGAGCTGACCAATTAGAGGCAGGGAGGGAGGGAGGAGGAGGAGGAGGGGTACCATCCCATTATGACCTCAGTATGACATCTATGTTTATTTTTTAATTCTTAGCCCAAATGTAAGAGTTCAGTTTTTGTGTATTAATATTTAATCTGATTTAAAGTGTGAGAGAGATGTTCTTCTCCACGTCTTCTCCACTCCTGCTACATCAAGTTTAAAAAGAAATATCCAATAATAAATATTAAATGATTTTAAAGAAAAACACAACTCGTTTTTTTATTCTTATCCACTCTAACCGATTAAATGCCAATTAGAGTACAGAATTTCCCTTTAAGGCAAATTTTCATTTGTGATAGCCTAAATAGGAATTTTTTTTTCGCCTCAGTGTTGCCTCATTAATATCATTAGGTTTCAAAATTAGTCAGAGTTTTCTTCTTTGGCTTCTTTGGGGTTTCCTGCAGCTTTGCTGCTCCGTCTGTTCATTCATCTGTCCAACAGTTTGGTGCAGACCAGAATATCTTTTCTCTGACTGGCTGCGATCCCATAACATGTGTGGTGGGTATTTAGAAACTCAGAGGACAGTTTCTTATGTGTGTAGTAATTCCCCGACCTTTAGCTAACAGTGCCAGCAAGCTGTTATCAGGTTCGAGAAAGCTGAAAACACGAGTGCTCAGATAAATAAAAGTGACCTGGAAATTCAAAGTATGTTTCTTAATATGTTTAAAAAAAAAATTCTTCTTGTATTCTTTTATCTGCTTCCTTGTCAGCTGCACAGTTACATTAGAGAGGATATCACCAAGCATTAATCCAGCTAAAACAGGGAACCTGCTGATTTACACCGCTCCTGTAGTGCTATAGCAGAGGCCTAAAAGTGACAAATTATATCAATAAATACATTAATAATTAAATAAATGTGTCATTATACAACCAACTAATTAATCATGTCATTAATTAAATAAAATACAAGTAAAATTTGTGTAAAAACACATAAAGTGCCGCAATATCTGATTAGTTACCCTGCACAGCAAGTCATAGGCATAGCTCGCTCACTCATTTATGTATGATAGAATAATGTGAATGAAAAAACACAGAGTTCCAGAATAACAGTCTGGTTAAGAAATGAAGTGTTCCTGTCCACTTAAGCAGGAGCTTTTTTTATTGAAAATACAAACAGTGAATGCTGAGTCTCTATAAATAGTGAAGTAATTTTAACAGAGGATCAAAAGTTCTGATGAAAAATTGATAGATTACCATAACACCAGTGACTGCGCAACATAGAAATGCCTTACTTTATGAAAGAATCCAGTTCTTGACGCAATAAACACTTCAAATGACAGATTTACTAAGACTCAACCGCAAAAATGCGCCGATGAGGGCGGAGGGTTCTGCGAGTGATCGCAAATGAACAAGCATGGTGAAGGAACGAGTACGGTAGCCTACTAACAAAAATAATAAAGTGCAGGACCAGTTTTTACTGTAATCTGGAGCCAACTTCAGAAAAATCGAAAAATCAGTATATAAAACTTGTCCCAGTTTTATATAAAACTTGTCCCAGTTTTATATACTGGGACAAGAGTTATGTCTGGAACTGATGGAGACTCTGTGGAATTTGGAGGGTGAGACAACCGTTTGCTGGATGCGTTTGACGACTGACCCGAATGATGAACAAAACAACACAAAATTACCGACTGCGCCAATTGCGCAATTGCATCCAACGCTCGATTTGCGCCTGAGAAAAGACACGCTTCCTTGTTTCTTTATGGGCCGATGAATATTATTATGAAGAACTGGAAACATATAGAGATTAGCTTTATGTATTCATAGTGTGTAGTCTGAAGATCTACAGGACACAACCAGAACAACTGGGAGAGCAACCCACCCGCTCTCATCCTAAATAAATTAACGCTCCTATCACAGCTACAACAGGCGCAAATAAAACTTGTTTTATATATTAAATGATTTTCAGCGCCAAAGGACGCTTTTTTGCTGGCTGAATTTAGCTATACCTCTGACAGCTTTGACCACTCACTTTATCTTTAATGGCTTGAATATTTAACCACACTTGCTAAACGTGAATATTATATTTCCTCACTTGGGAAAAAAAAAAA